TCCCACTCCCCCTGCTTGTGTTCCCTCTCTCGCTGTGTCTCTCTCTGTCAAATAAATAAAATCTTAAAAAAAAAAAAAAGTTTAGGGTGCCTGGGTGGCTCAGTCGGTTAAGTGTCTGCCTTTGGCTCAGGTCATGAGCCCAGGATCCTGGGATCAAGTCCCGAATTGGGCTTCCTGCTCAGCAGGGAGTCTGCTTCTCCCTCTACTGTTCCCCCTGCTTGTGATCTCTCTCTCTCTCTCTCGAATAAATAAATAAAATCTTAAAAAAAGTTTAAAGTGAGTTCTTGTATGAGGGTAGTGGTGATTGATGTTAAATTTTTTCTGTTTTAGAAAAATCAGAGACCGAGCCAGGCTGCCCCTTTATCTATATCATCCGAAAGGATATAGATGTTTACTCTCAGATCTTGAGAAAACTCTTCAATGAATCCCATGGAATCTTTGTGGGCCTCCAGAGAATTGAAGAAGAGTTGACTGGAAAATCCAGAAAAGCTCAGTAAGTAGGCTGCTGATAGGTGCTGAAGTCCACAAGTAAATTGTGAAAACCAAATGAAATGCATTGTTGTCCTTTTTTTTTCCTTAAGATTTTATTTATTTGGGGAGGGGGAGCGAGCACAGGGGTGGGGGGGAGGGGTAGAGGGAGAGGGAGAAGCGGACTCCCTGCTGAGCAGGGAACCCAATGTGATGAGGCGCAGGGCTCCATTTCAGTACCCTAGGATCCTGACCTGGGCTGAAGACAGACGCTTAGCCAACTATGCCACCCAGGCGCCCCTAGAACTGTTTTTCTTGCTAAAGATTGCGTCTTAGTAACTAAACAAATTGCTTTCTTGTGGATATTTGTTTAGTTTCGTCATTTCCTTATTTATTTATTTATTTAAGATTTTATTTATTTATTTATTTGAGAGAGAGAGAAACAGTATGAGAGGGGAGAGGGTCAGAGGGAGAAGCAGGTTCCCCGCTGAGCTGGGAGCCCGATGTGGGGCTTGATCCCAGGACTCCGGGATCATGACCTGAGCCGAAGGCAGTCGCCCAACCAACTGAGCCACCCAGGCGCCCCTCGTCATTTCCTTTTTTAAAGACTTTATTTTGAACTAATTTTGGACTTACAGAAAAGGTACAAAAATAATAGATTCCTGCACATTCCTCACCCAGCTTTGTTACGTTAATATCTACATAACCATACTATTGTTACTTAAACCAGGAAACTTACATCAATGCATTATGATTCAAGACTTCATTTGAATTTCACCAGTTTTTCCACTAAGGTCCTTTTTTCTCCTCTACAACTCAGGTTGCATTTACTCTTTTTTTTTTTTTAAAGATTTTTATTTATTTATTTGACAGAGAGAGACACAGCGAGAGAGGGAACACAAGCAGGGGGAGTGGGAGAGGGAGAAGCAGGCTCCACGCAGAGCAGGGAGCCCGATGTGGGACTCGATCCCAGGACTCTGGGATTATGACCTGAGCCGAAGGCAGTCGCTTAACCGACTGAGCCACCCAGGCGCCCGCATTTACTCTTTAATGACCTTGACACTTTTGAAAGATATTGACCAATTATTTTGGTGACTATCCGTCCATTTGGGTTTCTCTGATGTTTTCTCATGATTGGAGAAAAGTTACATTTTTTTTAAGGTTATTCATTTTTAGTAAGAATACCACAGAACTGGTATGATGTGTCCTCAGTATGTCGTATCATAGGGTTCATGATGTTGATGTTTTATACTGGTTTTGTTGACGTTGATCACTTGGTTAATGTGGTTTCTACTGGGTTTCTTCACTATAAAGTTACTGTCTTTCCCTTTGTAACTAGTAAGTATTTGGAGCAGAAACTTTGAGATTATGCAAATCCTATTTCTCCTTAAATTTTCAACCACTAGTTTTAGTGTCCATCAGTGGATCTCATCTGCAACAATTAATATCAGTATGGATTCATGGGTATTTATTTTACCCCCTGGGTTATCTCATGTGTTACTTATTTTGATGCTCAAGTTGTTCCAGCTTTGGCTGTTAGGAACTCCTTCAGGTTGGTTCCTGTCTTTGAGCAAGCTCCTGTCTTCTATTGAGAACTTACTTGCTTTTTGTCACCACAAGATACAGCAGGCTTATCTTGTATGTCATTTCATTTTTTGTAGATTGGTCCGAGTGAGTAAGAACTACCGATCAGTCATAAGGGCATGTATGGAGGAAATGCACCAGGTTGCAAGTAAGGATTTTATGTGTGTACATGTGATAGTAATTGAAATGTTTATCTGGCTGTAAATACTGCAAGGTAGAATCTATTTGACTTTCCAGTTTAAAACTCTTACTTCCTGTCTTACATAATTCTTTTTTTTTTTTTTTT